TCGACGATGGCGGAGAGGAGCCAGCCAGCAAACCACAAGCAATAACAGCATACTGTACAGCAAGACTGCACAGGCCAAAAGAGGGGCAGGAGTGCTAGAAGTCACTCTCTCTAAATGATTTTAAGATTTCTCATGTAATGTGTTGGTTTTCTTACAAGCTGTTATTGCTAAAGTTGTTTCAATTGTAGTTGTTTTACTCTTGATTTCTTGGTTACTAAAATCAAGAGATTGAAGGCATGTTGCCATAGAGATGCAGATGTCAAAATACATCCAGTAATTAAAGAATTAAAGAATTTGATTCTTGTTTTTTTTTTTCTTTTATCAGTAACTGAGGAGTTGCGACATCTACAGGGTTCTGGCACAGTTTACAAATGGAAAGTGAGTTTTGAAAGCCAGAAATCTCAGCAATGTTGATTCACTAGTTACTGACTGAAACATGACCAATACAGGATGTCTGAGGCAGAAGCTGATAAATGTAATGGTGTATTGGTCGATATTACTTTTTTTTTTAATATACACACAAAACATAACCAAAAGTGTTTGACAAGGAATCACTAAATTTGGTTATTTAAAACATTTTGACCAAGATACTGATATTTTACAGTTAAAAAATAAACTTGTCAGTGCTCTCTGGTGGACAACATCTGTAATGGGAACCCGGTTTTAATAAGTTAAATATAGTAAGTTTAGAAAGAAGAAAACAAGAAGCTGTATAATAACAAAAGTCTACAGCAGGGCTGTACTTACAGTAGGCACAGTGATGCATTGAACTAAATGCTAATGTCAGCATGCTAACATTCAACTTCTCAAGTTTAGCATGTTCGCATGCGGCTGGATCTAACTAATTAAACAATAAACACTAAATACAAAGTATTAATTAACCTGTTGGAAATATCCATAGTTCTGCAGCAAAACAAAAATGTGAGAACATTTTTTGAAAGAACTTCATATGAAATGTTGGAGAATCGCCAAAGTTGTTCAAATCCCTTCTGAATATCAAAAAATTTCATGGCAATCCATCCAAATACTTTATTTCAACAACAAACTGTTGTTGAAATATCTCAGTCTGGACCAAAGTGGTGAGCTGCCACACTGACCAACGCTGCCTTCCCTGGACGACATGTACACTTCACAGGCTCAAAGATGAAACAGTGGTTGTTACAGCTGAGGCTGCAGTGTAACAGGTGCAATGAGCTGGACAGTAAAATCACAAGGCACCAGGACGGTCGCATATAAGACACGTCAGTCTGAGAACAGGTGGGAGAAAAGAGCTTAGCTGGTAATAGGAGGTTTCAGCAGGCACAAAGGTGTGCCTCAGGTGTCTTGTTTAAGTCGCCCTAAATAAAGTGGGTCAGTTTTCATTAGGCAGAGGCTTTCTGTTTGATCCTACTTCCTCTCCCTCGAGCAACAAAATCACTGCAGAATGTTTTAATTTAACATCCTGTATATTCTGTATCGTGTTCACCTCAGCGTTGAAGTCTTCGGCGCAGATTTCTAAATCTGTGTTGCTTATCTCTGATGGATGTTTAGGAGAAACAAACATGAGCAGGATAACATCTGAAGGAATTTCCTGAAAAAACTGTTGTCGCTTTCTGTGTATCCTCTTTTTAGATTGACTGTGGAACACCAAAGACTGGTCTCTGGGGCTTGTTTCTTCAAATGCAAATGTCAGGATGAGACAACAACAAGTGGAGCTGTAAAGTTTAAACTGTAAAGGTCAAATCATGAAGCCCGCTGGCAGCGTCATGTTGTGCTTTGCAACCGCCGGGCTCTCTCCCTCTCTCTCTCTCTCTCTCTCTCTCTGTGCTCGTTCTGCTCTCTGCATTCCTGCTCCTCGCAGATCGATCCGATGCTTATCTGTCAAGGTGGTGAGTAATTCCTACCATCACAAAAGATGGGAACAAACGGAAAAAACAACCACCACTGACATTCCAGAGATATTCCTCCCAAGTGCATTGCATCTGCATGGAAAAATGTTATTGCATTCACTCGGCCTTGTTCGGAAAAGTACACAAGTTCTCTGTCACAGAGGGCTTAACGGCCTTAATAGAACATACTTAGGAAAGATTTCCAGCAACTGCAGGTGAAGAGCATCCAGACGTAGCTGAAATTAGTCAGGCACGTAGGTGGTAATGTGGCCTACATGACCTCAGGAAACCAGACAGGTAAACAGGAGTGGCATGTCCTTTCATGTCCCATACTGCAGCGCATGAGTGTCTAATTTAGAGATGAAAAATAAATAGGCAGAAGCTAAAGTATGTAAACTCAAGACTTGTGAGGAGAACGACCGAACCCACAGTGTAAAACATGATATTTATCATTCTCTTTGACCAATGTTACATGCCTGAAGCCACTGAAAGCACAGTTAAGTTAGTATTTCTGTGCTCTCAAACAGTGTTCAACTGCAAAATGAGAATCATAAAACAACTGCTCTCCACTTTTCATCAGATTTAATGAATGATTCGACTACTTTTGATGAACAACCTTCATTTCTCAGAGGAAGTGATCTCACCTCTGATGAAAATAAGAGTGAGAGAATACGCGTACACATGAGTACAACAAGCCACTTGTAGGCATCTCCTGGCGCTTTACACAGTAAGTATGTGTGTGTATGTTTGGAGGGTGGGTCGGTGGGGGGGTGGGGGGGTCATGGAAATGCAGGGGCATCATTAAGCTGTCACACTTACAGTAAAGGTTCATAGTTTCTCTGTGTGGCCGGGCTCGAGTAAGGAGCCAGCTTCCCCTATGTGTCACTACAACAACACACACTTAGGCTCGGGTTCACACTCGGGGCCAAAGGCTTTATTACCCATTTGCCATAGTTATGCACATGGGAACGAATATTAAAGCTACATTTAAAAGGAAAAATACCAGAGTGATGTGTATTATGTAATTTGTGGTTTGTTTCACTTTTAATCAGCATAAAGAATAGTGCACTTAAGAGAAGCTATTTTGTTTTAGAAACGTTTTTTCAACAATTTAAGTTGTGCTTTGGAAAATTGGCTTCGTTTTTTGCCGAGCATTGAGCTGATCTCTCTACTATTACTGCCACACACTCAGCAGTAAATCACCAAAGTGGCTCAGCAGCAGAACAACCCATGACGTTGGTACAACCTGGCTTGGTCAGTGCTCCGGCACTTCTGCGGTTATTTGGTCAGTGTCAGCCTTTCATCTTCCCCTTTGCCCTACCTGACTCTGCACCCTGGGTTTCCTCCACAGAGTGGTGAGTTAGCAGGAAAAGGAGCCTGATGTAAGCGCTATTTGATACACTGAGGTTTCCCCCCGTTGAAAGTTAATGGGAATTCCTTCGCTAGCAAGATACGTAGCTGTACAAAACAGCCACTGTGGAACAAAAAGAAAAAAAGAAAAGAGACGACAATTCTGCGTCCAAGAACAATTGGCACATTGTAGCAAGTTAAAGGTAATGACAGAGAAACCAGAGACTGATGTAAACAAAGATTATATCACTCCACCAACAGAAATATACACCCATGTTACGGCACGAGATGCCCTCCAGTTAAAGCTCCAGTCCTTTCAAAGCAACAGCACTGACAGCAACAGCCTATCTTTGTTTAGCCCATGCACTGGAACAGCACACCAGTGAATGACTAAGTATTATACCCACGCCAGCTCGCTTATGTGGTTACTTTAGCTGATATGCTGCCATGTTTTACACTCTAATAAAACCTAATTGGGTTCCAATTCAGAGAAACACATAAAACACATCACACATATCTTCGCCCCAGGTGTAAAATCAAATTTGTTACTTTCACCGGAGCTCTGCGACCGCAAGCCTCACCACATGCCCCCTAACCACTGAACACATGTACTGTATGGTAATGCACTTTGCCTCACATTACATTTATAGAGCTAATTCTAAATCTCCACATCTACCTTCCCTGATCTCTCACACACTAGCTAAAATAAATAAGAGGTTACGAGCGAGTGATGTCTGTCCCTCAGGTGCAGCTATGAACATCTGGCCACCATTGTATGTGTGTGTGTGTGTGTGTGTGTGTTAGTGAGACAAAGAATGAATCTTTAAACCACTCCCCATTTGAGAGGATCAAAGAGTCTCGCTCAAACACAGGATCACACCCACATAGTGCTGCGCAGCTACCAAAATCACAAGCTTGTCAAGGCCCAGGGAATATTTACTGTAGGTCTAAAGGCTATTTGTGAGCACGGAGCTTGACACAATGTTATAAAAATCTTCTTCATTTGCCCCCGAGGCAGAGGACCTGAAAACCCAAAACAAGAACTTTTTTTTTTTTTTTTTTTTCTTATATTTTCAGAAGATGATCTCCGGCCAAAAACATCACGCTGCGAGCTACCAAAGAGTTTAGAGAACATGACATCACAGAGAGAAAAAGCGAGAAGCTTGCAACACATCTGGCAGTTATGCATGGTTTAGCTGTTGATGACTGTCAGACAGATGGATGAACAGTTCACCTCTGGAGCGCTGCTTATTGAGGCTCTAAAGTCATTAGCGAGTAATTATCAAATACCTACGTAGTTCTGCACATTCAGACACATTCCTCCAGGCAGCAGCACCAAGTGCAACAAAAGCACACTACTGATATTCAGGAGTTTAAAAACACTTCTCACTATCAGCACTGAATTGTGCCAGTATACAGTGCACTGCAGAATCAGTGCAGTGGAACTCCAATCTGCAACCACATGTTTAGGGTGTAATCTGTTTCGTGAAGGCCAAAAGTCTAATCTTTAGTATTGTGGAAGATTTTTGAAATATATCTTTTAATGAAGAGAGTGTGGCTGCCATCCATGCACTTGTAGATCATATTTTGTGGTCCCACCTCTGCTCCTGCTGACAGAGTCCGATTTCTCTCCTGAGGAGCTTGTCGGCACCACTTGCTGAGATAAGAGGAACTGTCTGTGTTGGCGTGAAGCAGTAAGAGAAATGAAAGGCTAGTTTTTCAAGGTACTTTGATGGTACTTCATATCATCTCACAGCTTTAAGCCCAGGCAGCTGATCTCACCTCTGCAGACGTTCTGCTCATCTGCAGTGAATCCGGGTGAACAGCGGACGGTCCAGCTGGGCAGAGGGCCTCTGGGGCCGCCAGAAAACACAGGTGGGGGCTGAGGCTGGCTTGGCAGGACAGGAGGGACGTGAGGCACGGGTTCCGGCAGCGGCACCTGCTCGCCCTCCTTACTAATATAGATGACGGCACTCTTGGGGAGGCAGAGGTATCCACCAAAGTGGTTGATACACTGCATCCCTCCTTTGCAGGCATCAGCTAGCAGAGCACACTCGTCAATGTCTGACGCAGGGAGGAAAGAAAGGCATTAGATGTGGCATTTTCTGTGCTCCTGTATCATTTAAACAAATAACATTAAGCTTAGGTGAAAATAGATGAAAATGAATGGCAGAATTATACTCATTAAGCATGAAAAGCTGCACAAAGGGGTAGTAATCCATGCTTAACATTTAAGTCAATTTGTCATTTCTCACCTCTACACTGCTCTCTGACTCTGTCATACTCGTAGCCTTCTGTGCACTGAGAAGGACAGATAATGACCATGAAATGATACACATTTTACTGCCCTCTGTGTTTAACATCATATTATGAGGAAAAACATGAACCCTCAGCAAATGAAAGTATACGGCATCTCAAACACGACGAATATGTGTTAAACGCACACAGACAAAAAAACAAAACAAAACAAAAACACCATCAGGTAGAAATCGCTGACTTACTGTGTAGGAGACGGGCTCCTCAGCCTCCTGAGAGAGGACATGCGTGAAAACCACACACAGACACACGCAGATCCCCAGCATGTCGGCCAAACGTCGGAGGAACACTGTAACGAGATGCAGAGGAACTAACTGGATAGAGCGTGCAAGATCTTTTTTTTTTTTTTTGCTTGACAAGCCTACAAGTTTTAATACCAGTTATTACATCACTGATGGCATTGCTTAACGAGTCCCAACGTCTCCCGCTGCTGGCGTGATGTTTATGTTGGCACCGCCCCAGCTAAATCTGCGACTTCACTCAAGTGTTTTTCTGCTGTTTTTCTCCAAAAGGATTTAGTGCGTATTACGCGTAAAAGATCGTGCGTAAACACGTCCTCGAGTGTCAGTCAGTGTCAGGGAAAATGAACGAGTTAATCAGCCATGCAGAGCTCGTGTTGATTAAAAGTCTGTATTTGCACAACACATGTCTAACCTAACAAGCTGTCCAATCAAATATAATGTGATTCAGTTCCGCTCATCCCAGCCTCGTTTGACACTTGTTACCGGACAATTCCCTGAAACAGTCGAACGATATCAGAGACAAGTGCTACTGCATTTTTTTTTTCTTTTCGTCCTCACTTGTTTCAAGCTCTTCTGAATATTGTTTTCACTGTTATCTGATCACAGCGCTGTGTGGAGTAGCTTTGCCATCCTGTGCTGCCCTTGCGACGTACCTGCAATTACCTGCGGATCTCCAGCTCCCCTGGCGCCTGCTGAAGAAGAAAAAGGTCCCCCACCGGTATATGTTCCCTTGCAGATCCGAGTGTGTGTGTGTGTGTGTGTGTGTCTGTGTATGTTTGTGCGCGCGAAGCAAGCTGCCCTTTTTTTTTTCTTTTTTTTTTTTTAAATCCTGCAGACGGTGCAGTGGATGTTAGATGGTTGCCGGAGTGCAAGCAGCACTTGTGATGAACATGCGGTTCGTACTCTATGACATGCTGGGGGCGGTGTACCGGGCAGGTTGAGCTCCGGGTTTGTCTCTCACTGGGGTTCAGTGAGCGACCAGCAGACTACAGTGGCTCCCTCTATAGACTGATGATTGAAAAAAGATATCATCATTAAGAAAAAAAATCTTATCAGAATATCATAGAGAATTTAAACTGATTCTACTGCTGCATTTTATTCATGGGAAAAAGACTTTCATCAGCCTAAAAAGCCAAAGTAAAGAGTTAACTGTATCTTTACTTTGGTCTCACGTTCTGTAAAACTTTAACCATGAATTTATTGATTTAATAACAAATAATAGATTATTGAGTTATGCTCTAATAAAATGTGTCCTTATTGTAGCAAAGTGTAAGGAGTTTGGAGTGATATTGTCCTTATTTTCGTAGGATTTCAATAGTTTTCTATTGGCTTTATACCCTCTTTTAATTCTTTTATTTCCATTTCTATTCATCAATATGCCTCTACACTTTTTGGGGTTGTAACATGTTGACCCCATCAAGCTGTGATAGATTCCGGTGCCTGTCTATATAATATATGTACATGTACATTATGTGTGTGCAGCAGGTGGTAAAATCAACTCGTGTCGAAGACCTCCGTCAGCAACCACTACATTAGCTTCTAATACATTTCATGGTGTTTACAAGATGCCTGCGCTTCAGGAACATCTGCTGGAATTGGCATGGCTTCCTGGATTTCCCATGGGTGAAGAGACAGCAAGTGATTGTGTTTGTGTGTGTGTACTCATGTACATGTGCCAACAGCTTGCTGATATGAGTGGATAGACATGGACTTGGCACCACCTCCTTTATTGCTGACCTTTCCTCACAGGGTGTGGATGACAGAGGATTGCAGATAGATTCTGCATGGTGCTATATCCTGTAGGTGCAGAGTCAAACTCAAACTTTTCTTGGCAAAAAGTAGAACCTTCTCTTCCAAGATTCAAATTCAGTGTTTAATCTTAAATGTCAGTATTTAATTCTGTGTAATCAGAATGAGTTTACCAGGTTAAACACATTACAACTGGGAATTTAAGGGCCGAGTTCTGGTCCTGCACTGTAGTGATATTCATGTCTGTTCACATGATGACTTAATGAATCAATACAAAATATGGCATAGGAATAAACTATAGAATATGCAAGTAAATAACCGTACAAACATGGGTTACCCACAAAATAAGTGTGCAAAAGGCGTGACTCTTCACTAAAAGTTTATTTTACTTGGCAAGCTATTCAACAGATGAACAATAAAGGCAGAAACATTTAGATAAAGCACTTGATGAATCAAAGACATTTTGAAACCGTTTTTAGAGATTAATAGAAGATTTTATCCAAGACTAATCAAAGAGAGGATGAGCGAATGTTCCCCTTGGTCGTATTTCTCAGTGGAAGCAAATCAAGGCGAGGCTGAGGTGGGTGTGTCTCCTGGGTGCATCTCTAGGTGTGAGAAAGTCTCCGCACCAGTTTTACTGAAGTCAAAGCATATGATCCTTCTCACACTGATGTTACAAACGCACTGGTCTAACTGATACAATACAACTGGACATCTCTGCAAAAATACTTTAAGCAAGAAAAACGCACTTACATATGACCTCAAATGACCCTGGTGTCCCATTTGGATTTAAGTGAACAAGGGAGGAACATAAGACACCAGATAGCATGAACACTTTTAAATGTCAGAGTGATAGATTGGACCGTAGCTTAACTTTAGTGCTGCTTTGAGTTTCACAACATCTCTATGATCATTATGACCTAATCCCCCAGGTCACAATGGTGAATAACATTCATGCACACATACACACACACACATTCAGTAAGCATGTTGCAAGTGTGTAAAGTGATTGATGGGAATCTATTTATTATTACTGTTTAACAGTCCTAGAATCAAAAATACAAATTTAAAACTTGTAAACTTAATACACTAGTGAAGCACGTTTTTCAGAGCCAGTACTTTGACGTTTCTTTCGATGCTGAAGGCAATGCATCAGGTACTGTTGGCTATTGAGCATCAGCCAATCAGTTCCTGATGCAGTATCATCCACATCAGAAAGCTCTTCTTCACCCCAACATCACCGCAGGGGCAATAAACGCCGGATAGGTTATAGAACATTTCGGTCCCTCTGCAATATCTCCTAAAGGTGAAAGGAATGATGCAAAAATAACTCAAACTCATAAAAAGCCATTATTATTCTTTTCATACTACCATGATACAATAGCCAGTACTGTACAGTACACATCATTGTAAGTCAAGATGGCAGCAGAAGCATCTGGAAAGTGAATTCATGCAAATTCAAAATGGGCATGCATTATGAAAGAGCTGCAAGAGATGAGGCTGCACTTCAAAAGACTGTCGAAAAGAAATTTTAAAAAGTGGGGAAGGGGGATACGAGAGGAGGAAGAGCAGACAGAGAGGGTGTCTGTGAAATGCGCTTGTGTAATTGCAGTGACATCTTCATTGAGAGCCCTCCATCTCTTTCCTGTGTGCTCCAAAGGGCGTCGCTGACGCTGGTCGATGGGGAGAGCAGCCGAGGCGCTGTGTTTAGCATAATCCCAGAGGCCATTGTGAGAGCAGCTAGTGAACGACTCACAGTTGCCAGCTGAGATTTCACCAAAACACAGCAGAACACAAGGAGAAGGGGATGAGGTAGGAAAATCAGAGGTGGAGGAGGGGTAAGAGTGGAGAAAGGACTCAGGCAAGAGACAGGAGGATTGGTAGTGCTAATGAGGAACAAAATGCCTATGTGCCAAATATTACATTACACCGAATCTGGAGAGTAACATTTCGTGTGTACACACACACACACACACACACATATACATATATATATATATATATATATATAGGTCTTTTGCTGAGTGGTGGGGGGTGGCAGGATGGTTGCAGGATCAGGGTGGTAGTGAGTGTGCAGCTTGCACAGCATCAAAGAGGCAAAGTATAAAGTGTAAAACACGTTTTCTTCCAGGTGGACTGCACCTGTTGGCCCTTATTCAGGACTGTAATTCAATAATCTTCCCCTTTTCTTCTTTTAACCAATCACTAACTGTTTTGACTTGTAACACTCAGGCATAGAAAGATTAAGCAAAACTGTCACATGGCAACATTTCTTCTCTTGTGCAGTGATCATTACCTTAAGCCACAGTGTGAAATCCTCTTTGATCACCGTTTCAGGTAGGCAGACCGCTTTGAGCCAACCTTTGGTAAACAACTGGGTCTCCTCCTAACATGTTGCAGAAAACATCAAGATGAAAAATTTGTATAGTTTGTGATACAGAAAATGGATATGAGATAAATACACAGTTTAAGGGTTTATGTTATGTTTTTTCTAAGGCATGTTAGACAAACTGCAGAATCTCTCCAGGTGATTGTGAGAATATAAAGCACCATCACAGTTGCCTGCAGAGATTACCCAGTCAGCCCAGAGATTCCTCACTCATGCTGTGTGTCTTACACTTACGCACACACATACACACTGTTCTGTGGTGGGTATGTGTTATATCTATAAGAGTCAATTGGCAGCAGATGGTTAACACAGATCAGGATAAAGACCAAGCTTTGACCCTGCCCCCCCCACCCCCACCGTTCCAAAAGGTCTTGTGTTACCATGGTGACAAGGCCAAGGCACGTGCCTCCCATTGTTGAGCTGTATCCTCTAGGGTCAGCCGCACACCCAGTTAGAGGTCAGATGTCACCCCGGCCTCTCACTCAGGTCACCACTCACCAGCCTTCAGCCTTTGACCCCAACAAGCACTGAAACAAATTGAGAGATGGGGGGAGAGAGAAGGACGAAATGACAAAATTAAACATATTTACTTGACAGTTCTCCAAGACCACATGACAGCTGAGGATATTCTGACCAACATGGTCTCTGTTGTGGTTCAGGCCTTTTGAGCGCAGATTTACAGTGTAGTCCTGTGTGGGCAATGCACAGTAAGGTGAAGAATCTCCGCATGTTACAGTATGTCTCCCTCTTGTGGTGAAGTATGATGCTTTGAATAATTTTACATTTTGTGAACTTGATTCAAAGTGTTGCAGAAAAATACAGAATATGGGGCATCTTGGTGCCCTAGTGACTCATACAATACGATTCGGCATTTCAACCTTTGTTCCATTTCATCCCCCTTTCTCACCCAATGTCTCCTGCCTACATCTGCACTGTAAACTATATAATAAAGGGTAAAATGGCAAAACATTAATGTCATATTTATGCTGAGAACTGTTGAAGTGGTGTATCAAAAATATGAGATACGCATGATATTGAACAGCCTTTCATCCTCATTTTTTCACAGTGATTTCATGCTGGGTTTTAACAAACACATAACTTGAAATGTAATATGTCCACAAACTCATCATGGCGGTGCACACATCTTGCTGAAAAAGCCTCTAGACCCTTATTATGTTTAATTAACAAAACACCATCAGCTATTGGAATTTAACTGACCAAACCAGACATATGTCCACACATTTTGGAAAATCTTTCGCCAGAGGTGCCATCTTTTCCATTGAGCCTGGATGCATATTGGGATATTCAGGTCATCGAGTTGCAAAGTGTTGCTCAGGCGTTGACAAAAGAAAAATCTTAAGTTTATTAAACGGAACAGGCTGACAGTCCACACTTTGTTAGGCAGTGAATGAACAGAGTGGTTTTGACAGGCCTAACCTCTTAAGCTTCGGGTCCCACTGAGCTCAGCACAGCTAGAGCTAAATGCCATCTGTCCCAACATCATGAGGCCCCCCCAACCTGTCCCTCAACAGTTTAGCATAAAAATCATTCAATACTGCTATTAAAGGGAAAACACAGATAATTTTTCTCATCTGGTATCAAGTCCCCAAATTCAAAATCATACTTCAGTAAAGGATAAGTTTTCAGTCAAACATTTTCAGGCTGTCCAGGTTAAATGCTTTGCAAACAATAGCTGCGCTTGTAATCCAAATGATTTGGTTTTCAAAAGGAAACGTGCAAGGTAAATGCACTACGGGTTTCT